ACCAGAGAGAGACCAGAGAGAGACCAGAGAGAGACCAGAGAGAGACCAGAGAGAGAGACCAGAGAGAGACCAGAGAGAGACCAGAGAGAGACCAGAGAGAGACCAGAGAGAGACCAGAGAGAGACTAGAGAGAGACCAGAGAGAGACCAGAGAGAGACCAGAGAGAGACCAGAGAGAGACCAGAGAGAGACCGGAAAGAGACCAGAGAGAGAGACCAGAGAGAGACCAGAGAGAGACCAGAGAGAGACCAGAGAGAGAGACCAGAGAGAGACCAGAGAGAGACCAGAGAGAGACCAGAGAGAGACCAGAGAGAGAGACCAGAGAGAGACCAGAGAGAGACCAGAGAGAGACCAGAGAGAGAGACCAGAGAGAGAGACAGGAGAGAGACCAGTGAGAGACCAGAGAGACCAGAGAGAGACTAGAGAGAGACCAGAGAGAGACCAGCGAGAGACCAGAGAGAGACCACAGTGAGACCAGAGAGAGACCAGAGAGAGACCGGAGAGAGACCAGAGAGAGACCAGAGAGAGACCAGAGAGAGAGATCAGAGAGAGACCAGTGAGAGACCAGAGAGAGACCAGAGAGAGACCAGAGAGAGACCAGAGAGAGACCAGAGAGAGACCAGAGAGAGACCAGAGAGAGACCAGAGAGAGACCAGAGAGAGACCAGAGAGAGACCAGAGAGAGACCAGAGAGAGACCAGAGAGAGACCAGAGAGAGACCAGAGAGAGCCAGAGAGAGACCAGAGAGAGAACCAGAGAGAGACCAGAGAGACCAGAGAGAGACCAGAGAGAGACCAGAGAGAGACCAGAGGAGAGAGACCCAGAGAGAGACCAGAGAGAGACCAGAGAGAGACCAGAGAGAGACCAGAGAGAGACCAGAGAGAGACCAGAGAGAGACCAGAGAGAGACCAGAGAGAGACCAGAGAGAGACCAGAGAGAGACCAGAGAGAGACCAGAGAGAGACCAGAGAGAGACCAGAGAGAGACCAGAGAGAGACCAGAGAGAGACCAGAGAGAGACAGAGAGAGACCAGAGAGAGACCAGAGAGAGACCAGAGAGAGACCAGAGAGAGACCAGAGAGAGACCAGAGAGAGACCAGAGAGAGACCAGAGAGAGACCAGAGAGAGACCAGAGAGAGACCAGAGAGAGACCAGAGAGAGACCAGAGAGAGACCAGAGAGAGACCAGAGAGAGAGACCAGAGAGAGACCAGAGAGAGACCAGAGAGAGACCAGAGAGAGACCAGAGAGAGACCAGAGAGAGACCAGAGAGAGAGACCAGAGAGAGACCAGAGAGAGACCAGAGAGAGACCAGAGAGAGACCAGAGAGAGAGACCAGAGAGAGACCAGAGAGAGACCAGAGAGAGACCAGAGAGAGACCAGAGAGAGACCAGAGAGAGACCAGAGAGAGACCAGAGAGAGAGACCAGAGAGAGACCAGAGAGAGACCAGAGAGAGACCAGAGAGAGACCAGAGAGAGACCAGAGAGAGACCAGAGAGAGACTAGAGAGAGACCAGAGAGAGACCAGAGAGAGACCAGAGAGAGACCAGAGAGAGACCAGAGAGACCGAGACCGGAAAGAGACCAGAGAGAGAGACCAGAGAGAGACCAGAGAGAGACCAGAGAGAGACCAGAGAGAGAGACCAGAGAGAGACCAGAGAGAGACCAGAGAGAGACCAGAGAGAGACCAGAGAGAGAGACCAGAGAGAGACCAGAGAGAGACCAGAGAGAGACCAGAGAGAGAGACCAGAGAGAGAGACAGGAGAGAGAGACAGTGAGAGACCAGAGAGACCAGAGAGAGAGAGAGACTAGAGAGAGACCAGAGAGAGACCAGCGAGAGACCAGAGAGAGACCGCAGTGAGACCAGAGAGAGACCAGAGAGAGACCGGAGAGAGACCAGAGAGAGACCAGAGAGAGACCAGA